GTGCCAGAGCCTCCAGTGGAGGAGCTGGACCAGCTGTAACAGGGGGGTGGCAAGTCGTAGGTTGGAGGCCATTGCTATTAGAAACAAAGAAAAAACAAGTGAGAAAGGTCTAATATAGTTTGCTATTAGGTTTCTGGCAACAGGTCCAATCCTAGGTCCAATCCTCAAGACCCCTCGCACCGCTGGTGCTTGGTTGCTGAGAGAATGACATGGACGGAATCGCAGCCAAAAAGCATCACAAGAAGACGCGAAGATCCGTTCCTTGACTGGTCGATTTCCAACCAGTTCTGTGGTCCATAGATGGCCTGGTCAACGGCCTTGGTTGCTTGATGCATAGAGAGATATACTCCCACAGTCGTGTAGAACCAATAGATTATATGGTACCTGGCACCCACCAATACAATTCTTCCCAAGGTTTGGTATCCATTCTTGGCACCCCCCATCGATTCTTCCCCAACCGGCACCGATTCGTCCCCGACTGGAGCTTCGAAAGGAGCTGGAGCTTTTGGACTTGGGAGAGGCGGAGGATGGCATGAACCCTGGATGAACCACACCACGTCGACACGACCCGAGGACACGCTCCGGGCCGTCGGGTGCTGTTTTGGGTTGAAAGATGTTGGAGAGGTTTCGCTTGAGGGAATCTTGGAAATTCCACTTGTGTTGATGGACATTTGGACCACGACATCCTGATGGAGATTTGGCAAAACTCCCGAACAACGGCACTTGAGTGTCAAAACCTCTGCAAGTGTTTTGGCCAGGCCATCGTATAGGGTGAAAAAAAAAGAGGATTGCTATTCACTTTGGTAGGTCAACTACAAGCCGCCGTCCACCATGCCCACAGCTACTTGATGTTGACCACGCTGTGCCCGAGGCTTGCGCGTGCCGACGAGCTCACCGCCGAGCTGGGCGCTGGCGCGGAAAGCCGTGTGCGGCGAACCGAGGGCTGGTGGAAGCGATCGCCTGGGCCGAACCGCGAGGAGAGTGTGGCTGGACGGGCACGGCGTGAGATTCAGCTCTTGTTATGTGTAATGCTTCCAAAGCGATTTGGGGCCCGTTTCTTCTGGATTCTGACCCAGAAACATGGTAAAGATGGCAAGGTGGGTTGGGGGTTCTCCGAGTGAAGCACTGTGCAACTGGTCGCGTGCTCCAGGAGGGCGGCGTTTGCGACCTGGTGGTGTTCTCCAAGGCGACGGTGGAGGTTTTCGATGGTATTCGCACCTAGGGGGTGACAGAAATCAAAGAAACTGCTCTGAAAGAGCTAGAAGCTCAAAGGGTTTTCCCGGAACTTCAGGACAAGTCTCCCAAAAACTGTAGAAGACATTATGACACAGCACACAATCCATTTTGTCTTCCCAAACCTCTTCATTCTCAGCTCTCATCCCCACTGCGAGCTCTTCTCCCCGCCACCTGACACCTCCGACATGCTCCGACCCTCCCTCCACCTCCTCGACCTGCGCGTGTCGCCCACGCCGCGGGTCGACGCTTGCGAGCCACTGGTCACCACGCGGGCCGCCGATCAGGTCTCGGTGCGCTTTTCGTTGGATCGGCTGATGCCACGCCTGGGGAGCCACCTGGTGGCGGTGTGGGTCTCCGACGAGTGCATTCACGAGACCTCCGAGGTCGCCAGACGGGTGAAAAGGGGTGGTGGCGAAAAGGATGGCAAGAGAGGGAATCAAGGGCAGAGTGGTTGGGAAGTGGCTGCGTGTCATTTTTTCCAAAAGGCAGTTCACTGTGAACGTAGTTGGCTTGAAGATGTGTTGCAAAGCAGGTGGATCGATGGTCCAGTTGATGTGCAAACGCAAATCGGGTGCCAGGTGGCCAGCCCTGCTTGTGCGCACATGAATTCCTTCTGGGAGCGCACCTATTTGATGATGCGGGGCTACTGCACTCGAAGGATCTGTGCCCCTTCGTTTGCAGCTGGTTCTATTTCGGCAGATTTGGAGTGTATCCGGTGTATCCGGCGACACGAAGCACGGAGCTGGCTGAGAACGGCCATCTGAGGCCTCCAGGGTCTTGACCAGCATCCTGCAGGACCGGCTACAGCACAGACAAATGTGATGGGGCCCTCCTTTGGATCTGCCTTACTTACTACTAGGAGCAAGGGACGCTACTAGGGGCTCCTGGCATCGCTACTAGGAGTATTCATACTGTTAGTGGCAAGAAGGTTTTCGTTTCAAAACGGGTCCCAGTGCGACTGGATGAATTCGCTGGGTCTCCGATTCAGGTTCCCCAAGAATTGTTCGATCCACCGAAAGGCAGTTGGATCCTCCAAATGGGTGTGTGTTTTGAGGGCCTAGGGACTTCAACCAGGCTTTGGTCTATTTCCCTTCTTTGCAGGGAATCTTTGGGAGTGATCACTTGGTTGCTGCCCTACCCAACTGAACCCTCGCGTTTGCCAGCTCATCGCACCGGGCCTCCTCCCGCGCCCGCCCGACCCCGCCATCCCTCCGCGCCGGACCGACCGTCCGGTGAGGACCCCAACGTGCTGGAGCTGCACTGCGAGGACTTCAGCAGCGCAACGGACGGCTCCAACTCCTCGATCTCCGAGTTCGGCGCCCCGGGTCGCAGTTCAAAGGGGACGCCGGAACGCGGCGTGCTTCCACGGGCGGGTCACGAAGAGAAGCCAGGGAGGAACTCCTTCGGTGTTGGGGGCGGTTTGGAGGTGCCCCGCGGTTTGAACGCCAGGTGTTTCTTGGAACGATTGAGGTGTGTGGTTTGTTCAAGATCGTCGCTTTCAACATCATGTGAGGTCTAAATAGATGGGAATCAAGAAGACAAACTTTAAAAAGAGGAGGCTTGAGGGTGTTGGGATCAAGTGCCAGGACTGGCACTGAGGCTGTCATTGATGCCAACGGTTATAAGTTATAAGTTAAAAGTTAAAAGACTGTTTGTAGTCTTGATTCGCAAAATAGAACATGGCTTCTATTGATTTCCATCTCTTCAAGAACCGATTTGGAATGATTCACAATGAAAGGGCAACAACCTTTGCCGGCTCAACACATTACATCCGTGGCCCGGATTGCAAGGACAAGACTGGTTTGCGCTCCGGAACTTTCTGGGTCTAAGCTCAAAGGGCATCTATGTGGATGTTGGAGCATCTTTGCCCTTTGACTACAGCAACACTGCAACATGGACGCAGAAAGCGGCATGTGTATTTAGGATTGGGATCTCCGATGCACCCGCTTCGAATAGAGCTTATTTTTGTGCGAAAAAGCTTGACCCTGAGTTGGAGTGACAGCTTCCGAGCTGGCGGGGACCCTTTGGAATTTGGCCGATCCATGCGAGTTTCTCCTTCTGGCCCCCCCCGAAAAAAGCGAACACCTCGATCTACGGAAAGCGACTCCACCGGCTGCTGCCCGGCCCCACGCAGCATGAGCCGAAAAGCTTGGTCACCCGCCGCAAACGTGGCGCATCCAGACGGTTCCCGCGGCAGGTGATGTTGGATCGCTGCCAGGGGTGGCGAGGCATCTGCGTGGAGCCGAATCCCCATCTGAGCTTCCTGCTTGAGGTGGGAAACTGCTGGAGTTCCTGTGTTCCTTTGTTTTCACAGTGGACGGAATTAAAAGCAACAATTTTAAATGTAGAGCCGGGATGAACATGTGGTTTAGGGAAGTCGCTGGCAAACTTGGAGATGTTTGCGACGGTTTTTCCTCGTGCGGTGGTGAAGCTTTGCCATCTGAAGAGCAGGAAGGTGCAGCCAAGGGCTGTTTTCATTGCGTTCTTCAGACTTCTTCGTATCCGGAACTCTTTGCTGCACATATTCTTCCAAGATTGACAAAGGATCTTGCTAGAGGTCATGGAGCACCTCCAAATCGTTGGCTCCAATCGGAGGGCGCTTTGTTCATCCCTGCCACCTATATACCATTATTTTACCTTAAGATATTTCCCATTCTCCAACTCATTGCCATCTATCAGGGTCTGTCCCGCCACAATCGCCACTCATGAGACCGATCAAAACCCCCTCGATCCCTGGTAGAACAGTACCTCCCCAGTAGGTGGTAAAGCAGGGTCCCCCAGTTTGGATCCAATCTGCCACGGTCAAACCACGGTCAGGTCTACCGCTCTTGCGAAGTCTTCACGAGCCTTGAAAACCTTGGCAGTGTGTTGACGCCGTGTGTTTCCATCGTGTCGAGTGACCACAACTTGCAGCCATTTGCAACTCATGCAGTGGTTTGCCTTTCTTGGACATCTGCAAGTGGTTTGGTCAATGACCTTCTGCATTTCATTGCTGGAGTCTTTTTCTTTGATCGGCTTGCGCCGTCACCAGATTCGGACGGCGGTCAGAATTCGGACAGACCGACCGACTTCGGTTTCTTCGCTCCGAGTGATGAGGAATTGTGTGGATGAGGAGCCACGGCCGCAAGGGAGCGGTAAACGCCAGGTTTGTTCACCTTTCACCTGGTGGTGCAAGAACGCACTGGAAGGAACCTGTGGGGGGCGCAGGGCTGCCCCAGATCGCACTTTTCAATTATTGGTCCATACCCTGCTTCAGCAACGCTGAGAACTTTCTCGTTTAAGAGGAATTCGCAGCACTTCCGTCGTTTCATGCGCAGCACGTCCTCAGTGCCGAGGTTGGTCTGTCTCAACGCCCCTTCTCTGACCGTGATGGGAAGGTGGAGTTTTATGCGGAGCCTCGGCAGAAAGCGGAGCCTCTCGATCCCCAGAATGACCAGAATCACAGCACGCGTCACCAGGAGGCCGATTTCTCCCACACCTTCATCACCGACGATCGAGAAGTGCATTTGCACTTAACGCTCAACGTCGGAAGGTAGTGACGTAAGATGGCGTGCGCGACCTTCCTTTCGACACGTGCTCCTGGTGGAGTGAACGTGTCGAAGCAAAGATGAGCATGTGTCGAGGCAACCGCGGAGGATTGGCCGAAAGTTTGGGAATGGGAAAGTTTGGCAAAAACAACTCCCAACAAAAACGTCTGAAAGGTTTGGGAATCTACATCGAAAACCACAACATGCTGGGAAAGATCCACAGGTGTTGGGAATCCTTAAAACCTGTCCCAGGGATGGCTGGATAGAGGATTCGGTCTCCGCGCTGATGAAGATGCCCTCGCTCCCAGGACTGCCTGCCGCTCGGGGAGATCTTGCGCCGGGCTGGGCTTCAGAACAAGCGCATCTTGGGCGGATTTAGCTTTGTGGTTAGTCGGCTGCACTCATACCGAGTCTGAGAAAAGTCATCTTGTCGACCCGATAGGAGTGGCTTTTGGGTTTGATGGGAACTGGTTGGGAGATGGATCTGGTGTGAGGGCGTACGTGCTGAAAAAACCTACTCAGTAAGTTAAACCTTGCTGCTTTGTGTTTCATTTTTCCGTCAGGGTAATACACACAACATTTGCAAAAACATCTTTCTGCGAATGAGGAGAGACCTCGCTTCTTGCGCCAGGTATTGACTTCATGAGTGTGGACGTGGAGCATCAGGCTTTCCGTCCGGCATACCCAAAGCTTGTTGGAAGAGAAGCATCAATGTTCTCCAGCTCCGCGAGCCTCGTTCCGGGATGTTCCGGGCCTTTCTCACTTGTTTCCCAAAAGAGTCGCACCGAGCACCGAGCGGACTCCATCGTGAGACTCCGGGTCAACCTGATGAGAGCGAATTATTGGCGGGCCATGTGCGTGGGCCATTTCTTCACAGATCCGGTGTCGACCAGTGCTTCTTTCTGCGAGGAGTTGGCTGTGTTGAAGGGCCTGGACTTGAAAGACTTCGATATCCGTGTCCTCGCCGGGGCGCCGAGGGGGGAGGGCTGCGGGTGGACACCGTGGGGGCTGGCTGCGGGTGGAGAACACAACACCGGCGCCGTGGGTTCGACCGGGACCGGCGGATCCAGCGCTCGATCGTCCAGAACTAGCGTGGCACTTGTTTCTAATAGCTTCTTGTTACTACTAGTAAGGCACCTGTTACTACTAGCGTGGCACTTGTTACTACTAGCAGGGACTTGTGGACGCTTTTTCCAATGACCTGCGGGTCGGCCCGTGGTCATCGGAAGGACCGGCGATTCGCCGCTCGGGGCCAGGTCGTGGAGGTCACACGTGGGGCCAGATGGTTGGAGGTGTGGCACTTGGAAGAGTCGAGAAGCGGAAGGAACAAGCGTGACTTGAAAGCGTTTTCAGGGCTGTTTTCAGACCGACTCCTGAGTCATGCTGCGAAGCAGCGTGCCTTTCTTGCTTGTTTGCCATCTTTTTGGGTGGGAGAACATGAGTCCGACCGTGAGGCGAGGAGGACTGAGTCCATTGGGGCCTTGGTTTACCACGCGCGGGGAACACAACCATCGCCCTGAGGTGGATTCGGTGCTCCTCCCGGAGGTGACGGCCCGGTCGAACGAAGACCGATGTCGACTCAGAGATGAGGGGATGAGGTTCTGAGGTTCTGAGGTTCTGCCGCGGCTGGGGGGGGCCAGTTCTGGCCGGTACCGGTGTAGTTCTCCTTCGGATTGGAGCCACCTTCGCTCTTTCCCTCCAGGGCTATGCGAAGGTGGCCGTTCTGGGCCGCGATGTGGTCTATGTGAAGCTGGAGGAGTGGGGGAGTCCTTTGCGAGTTGCGCTGCACTGAACTTGTCGAGTCCAAGATGCTAAAAGAATCTGTATAAGATATATAACTTACTGGTCGGTCTGGGTTTGACCCACAGCCCACACTGAGATTGCATGTTTTGGCCTCCCTTCACTGATGTTTGGGCATACTTGGACCTGGAGGAACGCGCGCAGTGGCTCAAGGTGCGAATCATAGCGTAGCCCTGCCCCATGAAAGGGGCAAAAGCAGTGTGTCTCCAGCTCCTGTGGAGTTTGTTTCTGGTGTTTGCCACCGTGCAATACATGACGTTTACATCTCCTTCTGATCGTTTGCGGCTTTCTGCAGCTGACGTTGGTGGGAGACCGGAGGCAGACTCTACGACTTTTAGCCACGAAGACACAGGATGTGGAGGCAAGTCATGCGATGCTTGCAGCGAATTTGGGTTTGGCCACGGAACAGCTGTGCATTAGAAAGGCGCCAATGAGTCTGGCGCTGTTCTTGGACCAGGTTCGGAACCTGGGCGCATCATATCCACCAGCTGCGCGTCAGCACGTTCGACTCTTGGCGCTGGCTTTGACTGGAGCTTTGACTCCAGTCGAAAGCCGGTGCAACCCGGACAGCAGCGGAGGGTCTGTGTGTGACAACTGGATGCCTTTTGATTTGTCGGTTCGGTTTTGTGGAGGCGATTGGCCCACACGCGGTCAAACCATGGTGGGCATAGTGCGATTGAGGAACGTGGCCGATGTGCTCTACCAGGTCATTGCCAATGATATTCCAGGTGATTTTGCGGAATTGGGAGTTTGGAGAGGAGGAATTTGCATCTTTGCAAAATCCATCTTGGATGCGATGAACGAGAACCGTTTGGTTCATGTCTTTGATGCCTTTGAGGCCATTGCTTCCTACAAGGGTGCTGCCAAGGCTATAGCTATTCCATGACCGGCTTCCAGTTGTACAATGTCTTTGATTCCAAGGTCCACTTCTATAAAGGCCTGTTCAAAGACACCCTGCCAGGGTTTTACGCCAACCACACGAATTCCGCCTTAAAGCTGGCTGTTTTGCGAGTGGATGGCAACTTTCATGACTTCTACCAGGATGCTCTTTACTATTTGTACAGCTTCGTCTCAGTGGGTGGTTTTGTGATTTTCGATGATGTTTATTCCCACCCTGGGGCCATGCAAGCCTGGAAGGAGTTCAAAGAGGACCATGGTCTTCCCGAAGACTTGACCCGAATCGATCTCCATTCAGGCTACTTTCGAAAGACTCGCAGCGTGTCCGTCAACTTTGCGAAAATGCGGACTTCGTCAATTGTGTAGCTCACATATGTAGCTCACACATGTAGCTCGAAAATGCGAGAAGTGTGGGACTGCGGGCCATTGATATCAATCATATTCAGAGAAACTCGCAAATGGTTTAAGCAAGAATATGGTGCCTCATCATCATGGTGTCGAAAACTGGTGCAATGCCCATGCCTTTCCCCAGCCCATGCCTTTCCTTCGCGCGTAGCTCGACTTCGTGCATCACATGTATGCGCGAAGCTCGACTTCCCGACTCGCGCCTTCGTGTGCATCTTCACAACCATCAGGCAGCAATGAGCGCCCTGATATGCTCGGCAGGGGCCATTTGGTTGGGAGATCCTGACTAGCTATGCCGAGGCGACCCGCTCGGGAATCCAGTTGCCAGTCTATATCTAATTCACCTTGCGCGTACCAGAATGCCGATGAAGGGAAAAAGTGTGTTCCGAGAGATGTTGATTGGATCCCACTAAGGCTTTTGTGTGCAACCACGAAGCTTCGAACACATCAACTTTGCTCCTAAAGAGAAACAACAGATTTGGACATATCCATGTGACCAGTGGGACGTAAGTGAGCTGCAAGACTTGTTTTGGTTTTTTTTAGAAAGCGTGCGCATTGGAAGTAGCATTCAGCAAGACATTCCAGAACAGAGGTAATCTGAATAATAGTAAACTGTAAACTAATACATTCTTGTTTGCAGCGCTTTAAAGCACATTAGAATACATTAGGAAAGACTCGACGTCCATTTTTCGGAAAGATCGAGATGAGACACTCAGTCTACAGGAGATGACACGCTTTGAATGCTCCAGTCTTGTTGGAGATGACGAGTGCTTCAGCTGCGGCCAACTCGTTTCGCCCCAGGAGCTGATGCAGAAGAACCTGGCGGCCGGGGGACCCGAGTGGCGGAAAGAGGAAGGTCGTGCTCCGAGTTCTGCTGGGAGTGCTCCGCTGGGTGGTCCACGCACGAAATGTGGTGGGATGTGCTGCGACTGTTGGGTCCAGCTCCTGTCACATGTGGCGAAGAGGGCAGTATTAGATGGTCACTCCAGATCATCAGTTTTGCAGGCAGGGATTTAGCACCATGCGCGTATCCCATATGTTTTGCGGAATCCCCGCTTGACGGAGGTGGACCACGCAGATGTAGGGGTGACGCGCGTAACTTGCGGGTCTGCGCTGGACGCGAAGGTGCAGAGAGATGGCCCCGTCGGTCGATGGGTCGATTTCCCCACGCCAGACCTCCGATCGTCCGTCGGCACCGGGTGTGTGGCACAATAGCCGGTTTGCACACACACCTGTCCCAGGCGTGGCCGATCTTCAGCAAGGTTGGCTGGGCTGGGTTGGGCTGCTTTCAATGGTTTCCGACCCTTTGTGGACTGAGAGTGGCTGAGGAGTTGGAGGCGTGAGGAAGGATTGGAAAGGTTCTTTTGATCCCAAGGATCGCCAAGGCAAGTTTCGGAAAGCTTCTCCCTTTTGTGACTGCTTCACTGTTTAACCCTACCCCTCTCAGGCCCCAGAACAGATTGGAGCGTTCGGTGTTCACGCTTTAATCATCCCTCCTGGGTGAAACATCGACCAAGACCGATCCAAGAACTGGCCCCTTTCAGGCAACCCTACCGACGGGCTGGGCGGACTTCCACCAGCGCGTGCTGGATGAAGAGATGGAGGAGGCGGGTCACAGCCGAGCGCCGGACCAAGAAGATACTAGGGTCTCCTGGCATCCCTACTAGGAGCAAGGACGCTACTGGGGGCTCCTGGCGGTGGAGCGTTCGGTCACGGCCGAGACTCCGAAACGCCAAGGAGATGCGCCAGGAGCGGAAGGCCTTCTACGCGGGGCAGCGGCGGATGTCGCCCGAGCGGTGAAGGAAAAAAGCCGTTCCTGGAAACCCAAACGACCAGAGACCAAATTGACCATCAACAACCACTTGTTATGTAAAGTATTTCAAGTGCCATATTGGAACAACATGGAACAACCATTTGTTTCTTGTTGGCGTGACGCGACTGCCGTACGATTGGCAGTGGCTGAGTTTCTTCCACACCGGTGTGAGAGAGAACCGCACATCAGAATTATCTGAGATGCTGTCTCTTTTTGCCAGCGTTGGGCCACAATTCTTTGGGCGGTCAAACCTAAACATGATCCAATGTGATGCAAAATGATGCAACCTGGGGTCAGTAACAGTCGGTAAAAGATTACCACTATGACTATTTCTCAGAAAGGCCTTTACTGATTATCATCATCCACTGTTGCGGGCAATGGGATAAACCCAAATGCAACCGACATACTGATTGCTGATAGTTTTTCGTAGAATTGGGTCCATGATAGCAGTCGAAAGGGCGAACGAATTGATTCCGCGCTTTCGGAAAACCATGTCGGACTATGCAGCCACTTGAGGCTTTAACTAGACCTTCAACCTTTGCAGGTCTTGAAATCTTCCTGGTTTGGTGAAGAAAAGGCATCCCCTCCATCCTCAAGAATCGGATGGATCGACCATTTCTTTCAAAAAAGCACAGTATATATCTCTGCTGGAAGCTATCTTGAGCCTGCCATGCTCAACTTCGCCGTGCTCGGGTCTCTTCTTTCTCTTCTTCCTGTGGCATGGTCCACTCGCTGCTGGATGATCTCAGTGAGTGGTTTCCACTGCAATCGCGCGACTTAGCCATGCTGAAATAACTTTAAAGGATTGTATATTATATATATATATATAATTGTTGTTACGCCTTCAAAAGCTCTGCAAACGAAAGGATTGGGAAAGCCTTTTCTTGAAGCAGCGAAGACAAGTGCACCTGTTCATCCCAACCATCATTTTGTTCAGATTTGTACAATCTAAGGAAGCAGGCCAAGAGTGGATGGAGAATATCAACCAGCGCTATGCCTACTACGCAGACAACGGGATGTACTCCTACAGAGGAAGTATCTCTCAAATCTTCCATTCCTCCACCAGGTGGCTTGGGCAAAAAGAGTGTTTATTCTTTTGTCAAGTGTGGCTTTTGTTGAGCAGCTTTGCTGTGATCCTGGACCAATATTATTCTGCTTTGCCTCTCATGGCTCTTCTGGATGTTAGGTGATTCTGCTTTGTCTTCCCTTGTCTACCATGGCTCTTCTGGATGTTGGGCTGAGATGATTTTGCAAGCCACACAGTTCGATTGGAGCAGTCTCCGCCCCTCTCAGATGAGGATCATCCCTGGGTATGCTGCCGTGGACCGGGTTGGCTCTTTTTAAAGACATCCCGCCCACTGGCGGTTTTCCTTGTGGCGCGGCTGCTGCTGCTGCTGCTGTTGCTGCTGGGCTGGCCGGTCCCAAATCCAGCGCTGCTCCTGCGCCTTGCTGGTTCACAGCCCAAAGGTCTTCTGTCTCAGATTGTCATTGTACTTCATGGGAAGAAGTCACTTGTTGTGCCCCGGCAGCACGGGGTGAGCAACATTCACACAAATTACTGTAGTTACGGCAACTTTGAACAGTTTACACATTGACACAGACCCCATGTTGGCCATACCACCTTCCAGAGACTTAGACGGATTCTCCTTCGACACCACACCTTCAGTCTGAGAGAGCGCGTTCGGCTGTGGACGTTGTGTGTCAGGGCCCCGTACGTCTATAGGTCTAAATAGGCCGGTTGCAGCAATTGTCACGTGCCTGCACTAGAGACATTCGCTTGTAGCCAGTTCGCCGTCCCACACCACCGGAGAAACAACCCGGATCTTCTTTGTCGTGCCGGCGTTGTCTCCATCGTGGACTTTCTCAGGATGCCGGGCCCATTAACTTCTCCCGCGACCACTCGCCCAGGCCAATTGCAGGGTTAGAAGGGCCATTGCAGAGTGCCAACTAGCTGACCTCAAGTGTGCCTGTGCAGCACCCCCCTTCGATTCAAGCCGCCCAGCCCCGGCCACAGGCTGACTTTAGGCCACCTGGATGCAACCGGAGCTTTGTCCGTCGAGCGCTTATGATCCATTGCTTCTCCTTTGTGGTTTGACACCACAAGCCATAAGCCGATTTTCATGCACACCTCATTGAGTGCCATCCAAACCACTACTCCAGCTTACCGACCCTGTGATAGTATCCATGCGTTCCAGTCTTCACTTGGGCCTTCTTGCACCGCGAGGATGCTCAGTGGGAAGAATGCTACCATAGCAGGGTGGCTTTCCGAGCATCTTCAATGAACCTGGTCATCGCATCAATTTGGTCTCCGTTAACGCACTTGAGACGCTTCTCAGCCAGCGGGCGCGTCTGAGGCACGTCCATTTTGCAGTGGGTGTCAGCTCAGGCAGGGCAATTGCTCTTGGATCTGACGCTACGTTGGGGAGGATGGAGTTGTGCGTCCGTTTTATTCCTCTGCTCATTAGCCACGGGCCCAGGTCTTTCCAGTTAGTGTGGCTGAGTCGGCTGAGCAATGGAGTTCCGGCATGCTGGGTGCATACAGCTGTCATAGTTTGCAAGCTGCAGCGCTTCAGTTCACTACGGCATCGCGCAAAAGGGTGGCGACCTACATGTTTGCAAGCTGCAGTGCTTCAGTTCACTATGTTTCACTGCGCAAGGGTTGGTCATCTACATGTTTGCAAGCTGGCAGCACTTCACTTTCATCAGGGCATCAACGGGCGTACATGTTTGCTATAGGAGTTGTGTCCACACTACAGCAGGGATGTGGCTGACTATATGCTTGCCATGTCTTCAGCTGTTCGATCTTCAATATGCTTTGAAAAACAGGGCCCGCAACCAGTGGCAGGAGCCGGCTCAAAACCTGTGAGCATTGTCCTGGGGGCGCCAAACAGCGAGGTCCGGTGGCTCACACACAGTACGCGACAATGTCTGGGTTGTAGGGTTGCACTGACCATGTTTTTGCCCAGCATGGGAAAGCTTTATGTACAGCAACCACTTTCTCGCTTTGTTGATTCTGACACTGGAATCTACATCCTCTTACCTCAGCCGAGATTGGCATTGTCAATCAAGGTAGTGCCAGCCGTTGGCTTGTTAATGAGCTGTAGGCATGTCCGACAAGTGGCTTGCCTACTTTACCGGGACCTCGGGCCCATGCCTGTGGTGTACAGTGGAAGGCGGGTGGGCGGATGCCTCGCACCCCTCTTGCTACGCGGGTTTTCTTGGCTTAAGCCCACAGCGGCAGGACATGCAGCATGCGGCGCCGCTCACGCCGCGCCCATGCGACCGATCGTCCGAGATATTCCTCTGCTCATTTCACCCGGGGCTCAATCTGAGGATCACCGAGACTGCTTGATGAGTGGGCTGGGTGGTATGGCCTGTCAGCGGGGGTTTGAGAGAAGGGCTTGCTGTCATGCGCTCAGTCTGAACTCAAACCACTTCGGGGCCTCCTGCTGGGGCACTGACGGCTTGCCGCTGCTGCTGTGGGTTCAAGAGCCCCTAAAAAACATTCAGTGAGGATGAGAAGGCTTTTGCAGATAGCTCTATGTAGGGGCAGGCTTGCCTTTTGGGCCACGTGCCATGTGTAGCAAACAGTGTCACACTGTGGCGAAGCGAAAGAACAGAAGCAGCGATGATTGTGCAAATTGTGCTTTGTATTTTTGGGCCCCTTTGTTTCCCGAACAGCTTTGCTGTGAGGGTTTCTCAATTCTTGCAGAGAAACAGTCCTGGGCCAATATGATTTTGTCTTGGGTGTTTGGTGTGGGCTGAGACGATTTTGCTTTGTCTTCCTTTGTCTCCCACGGCTCCTCCGTGGCTGGGCTGAGGATGCTGATTACAAAGTTTTCAAGGTTCCCACAAGGTTGCCGCGCAAGCTTCCCAGCTCCCAGAAGGTTCGATTCAACCCTGCTCTGCCCCACAAAACATAGGGTTCTCTTTTCTCTGCGATCTGCGACTCATCAAGAAATGGTTTTTAATGTGCTTCCAGAGTCTAGAGCCTGTGAAGCCATCCTCTTTCTTTGCCTTCCTATCTTCAAACCTTCTGTCCGCTTACCCTCCTTCTTTCTTATGCTGCTACTCCCCTACCCTCCTACTCTCCTAGCCTTTTATCCTCCTCACCTCCTACCCTTTTTCTCTCCCCACTTTCGGGTCTTCTCTTCTACCCTCCTACTCTCTGAACCTCTTATCCTCCTATCCTCCTATCGTCCTATCCTTCTACCCTCCTTCTCTGCTCCGCAAAACATAACATAGCATTTCTTATCTTGTGTTTGCAATCTACGACCCACTAAGAAGAGTATTCTATTGTGTTCCTAGACCTGAAAGCTACCCTTCTTATTCCTTGCCTTCCTACCTTCTAACCTTTTATCCACTTGCCCTCCTTCTTTATTACGCTGCTACTTTCCTACCCTCCTACTCTCCTAACATCGTCCTCCCCTCCTACCCTCTTTCTCTCCTTCACTTGCGGGCCCCAAATCCAATTTCGGGCCCCGGATCGATTTCAGGCCCCGAATCTCTCCTACCTTCCTACTCCTCGCAAGGGAGGAATCATCAAAACAGATTGGCAATGGCGAGTGTCCTGCAATGATTAAGTGGGTCCTTGTGGGCCATGCACGGAGGACATAGCGGAGCATGTGGGATTGTGGGATTGTGCTGTTTGGGATGTTCTTTGGGCCTATTTTTTTTCAAAAGACAGGGCACATGGAGGGATCTCCTCATTGCAGTTTGGGCCACTTCATTCAGTCCATGGCAGGTGCGACAGGATTTGGGTTGACCCACTTCATTCAAATATGTGGAGACTAACTTCGTTGGATGATCCTTGCTTGACCTGGGGCATGCTGAACCGCTCGGCTGCGATGGAGGTGTTGGGGCGGGTGGAGGTGCAGATGATGAGGATAGCAGGGTGTGGACCACAAGTTCTCAGCATTTCTTGTGACCTGGAACTTGGAGTTGTATTTGGTGTTGCGCTGGGCATTTTCAGTGTGGCAGTGTTGCTCTTGACCTTCTCCTTACACATACCTCGGACAGTGCTCCCACTGAAGCCCAAAGACGAGGAACTCTTCAATCCTAGCAGTCTTGGAGATGGAGAGTTGCTTCATAAGACTGTTCCGATGCACCAGTGGTGCGTGAGTTTAGAAGACCTTCGGCAGTTTCGCAGGCTCGTGATGCATGCTGTCCTTCAAGGGAAGGTTCAACCAAGCGAGCTGGACATGTTTGAGCTCTCGGATTTGAGGATAGGGCCATCCGTCTACTCTGTGACTGAGCAGCTTGTTAAGCCGCTGACAAGTCTGGCTGGCAACATGAGCTGGGCACTACTCAAGAACCCTGAAGGTTTGTCCTGCGATGTTTTTGTGACGCATTGCTGGGCAGAAGGCATTTATGAATTTCTTGATCGAGTTGAGCACTCCTGGCCGCGTGGTGCTAAAGGTGCCTACATATGCTTTCTATCCAACCCACAGAATTCAGACATATCAAGCTTGATCGCGAGCCCCAGCGAATCACCGTTTGCCTTAGCGCTACGAAATGCAGGAGTTGTGCTGGTCCTGCCAAATCACAGGGCATCTATATACACTCGGCTTTGGTGCGTCTACGAAGCCTTCCTCGCATACAGATGGCAAAAAGGCATCAGAACGGCTGAGCGACGCCACGATGGACTTTGGCGTTGCTTGGTCCGTACAGCATGTTTGTATGCCGCTGGGAGTGCAGTAGTACTGTTGATGCTGAACACAATAATTGAATATGAAGATTGGTACGAGTTGGACAAATCTTTTTTTGCGCCTCTGATCTTTGCGATGTTGATCTTTTCAATCAGTCGCTTTGATTGCTGCGGGTTCCTGAAGCAAGCAAGTCTTGGAATCGCCTGCATTTTCAGTGGTGTGGCCTTATCACCAGCCGTGCTTTTCAGGGGGTACGATAATCTAACTTCTGTGACCATATGGTTGGCAGTTGGACTCACGCTTTGTGTCGCAGAGTATGACCGAATGATGATTTCCGATGTGCTGCTCCGAAGCAGGTTTTTGGTGAGGGGCTTTTCTGGGAGATTGATGGATGCCAAATGTTCGGTGGATGCAGACAGACAGAACATCCATCAGGAGCTGCAGGCGACAGGTGGCGAGGTAGAACATGCGGTCAACACCTTGATTCACGTGAACTGGCTCTCGCCCGAGCTACAGCATGTTGCAGCTTTGGCCGGACAGCTAGGAGATGCTTCGTACTTCAGCTCAACATGGCTCTGTTGTGCACTCGGCTGTTGGTTGATTGTCCCATTCAACCACTTCAACGACCGATACGTGGCCACAGACACGTCAAAAGTCTGCAGTGCTGTTACGTTTGTGCATGGCATCGTGTGGCTCTTGCTTTTCATTTTCTTGCCACATGATCGCAAGGTCTTTGCCTCTGCCTTGATAAAGGTTTGGATTCCTGCAGTATTGGCACTTCTGGCTGTGCAACAGAACTGGCTCTGGTACCCTCCCTTAGGGGCGCTGGTGCTGGGCCCGTTCTGCCTGCTGCTGAGCCTAGCTGGGCCCTTGCGCGTAGCTCGCATCCCCTTCTTGGGCATTCCATTGGTGCAGATCCTGATTGGGAAGTGGGGCTGCCGAAGATCCAGAGGTCCGCTGCCAGGCTTTGCACCTCAGGACCAAGAGAGGTCCGTCGAGTCCACGAGTGTTGAGCCGATGTCACAGGATCTGGCAGTTCCTTGTGAGAGCGAAGAATCTGTCACAATAGCATTTTGAATGGAGATGTACATAATATGTAAAAATGTAAAACACATATGTAGATGTACAGGTGTCACACAAAATCAGGTCCTGCCAGTGCCAGCTGCGAAAATACTGCTGAAGGCGGTTTCCCCTGTAGCCGTGGAAAAAGCTCGAGCTCTACTGTTTCAGAGTGCGTGAGGTAATTCAACGTTGTGATCCAGTGTGATAGTAGCAGTTCGCCAGCGAAAGGAACGAGACCACATCGTTTGTGTTGAAGAGGCGGGACAAACATGTTCAGCAGGGACTCTGATGGCATCATGAGAATAAGGGGATGATCAGCCAAGGCAACCCCCATGGCGCGGATGGCAGAGTTCCGTCCGCCCCCAAACGCGTCTCGATTGTGCCTGAGATGCCGGAGCACTTCGGAACGGGCGACAGTTGTGACACGACCTCGCAGTTCTTGAAACTTGCTTGTAGCAGTCCTTTCCCCCTCCAGCGCTGGAGAGTTGCTGCAGGTTTTGACAACTGTTCAGCCCAAGAATGACCCAACATCTGGCGCCCAAGCACCATGAAGGCCCCCGGCCCCCGGTCTAGGCCCCGGATCGGGTTTTTGCAGCACAAGTACTACCAGGTATGGATCCACCCGATCGGGTCGGGTTCCAAATGACTTGCCACAAATGACTCCATCCATCCAAGACTGGTCCATCACATGGCTGCCCGATGTCGGAGTTGCACCCGAAACCGAAACGCCACCCTCGGTAGCTCGCCTCTTCACGATTCGTCAGGTGTGTATGCAATGAATAGGGAGAACTCCCAGGCGTTCCCCCAGCCCCCGCCTTCTGAACATAGACCTTTCTTTCATGAACAATGGTTCAGTCGCGTTCTGCTGCCTTTCTCCGTGAACCAATGGAGATTCTGGAGCTGGTGAAAAACCTCGAGCCCGCCATCAGAGCAGTCAAACGGGGCCATCAGATGGGTGAAGCAAGACGCCAGAAACAAGAGACAGCCAACCGAGCAAGATGTGTCGTGTCAAACGAGTCCCAGTGAGGCCTTAGGCCTTAGGACACAGAGAGCGTCGTTGTGATATCTCAACAGCTCCTGCCACAAGACTTATATAGATACCTGATGATACCTGCAGAAACGCAAGCAATCCATGATGGATGGACATCAATGTAGCATATCCCTCCCCAAAAAGGACAAGTAGATCCCCAATCTCATGCCGGCTGCGTGGCAAAGCCCACGCAGCTGAAAAGAAAGAAGCCGGGGGCCGCGCCGCGAATTGCGCGATGGGCAGCTGCAATTTCGATAGCTTCCAAGAGACTTGCCCGGAAGTTCGACTGGGCGTTTTCTACAGCCAAGTCGCCTCAAGCGCCGGACCTGCTTTGTACTTGGTATAGCTTGGTACTTGAAATTCAATATGGGCGTGTGCCACTGTGTGTGCCTGGGGTAGGCCCGGCCAGGTCGGGCCCGCCATTCCGAAGCCATGACAAGTCAGCGAGAAAGTTTGCAATTGAAAGAGACCAACTCTTCCAGTTATGAGCACTTCCAAAAGGTGTTTTTGGAGTTCCGAAGGTTCGGGGCATGTTCTGAGCACCTCCATCACCTATTCTCCAAGTTCGGCACATGGAACTCCAGTGAATTAATTTATTGTTATATTTTTCTTCTCACGTTTCCCAACCTTCTAAGGATTGGCTCTTTACAGGTCAACGTCTCTGGTGGCCCCGTGCGGAAACCGCGACGCTGGAACTTTCAGGTGCGGTTGCGGTGTGGTGTCCGCCGATGCGTCCTTTGGGGCGGAGCCGATCGGGGGGAATCTCCGATGGCCGAAGCGTCGTTCCGGTGGTCCGACGGCTTCGAACGCGCCCGAAGCGGCGAGATGAGTCGGAGGGAATCTGAATGAGTTGAGAAGTTTGACCGATTTCACGACGGAATTCCTCTGTTTTTTTTCCTCCTTTTTTTTTTTTGCAACAGACTTCCAGTTTTGAATTCAACTCGCACCAGGATTCATGGTCGAAGATCTTCTAGTGCAGCTTCCCTCCTTCTCAGCTGCGCAAACCTACCCGTGACCTCTACAACCGCCGATGACCTTTTACAGCGGTGGTTGATCAATCGAGGGGTTACTCCCAGGTATAATATGGTACCTGGCATCGACCCTTGATGCTCTCGCCGCAGCCGACGTTTGATGTCCGAGGCCTCGTCTTGGATGGTGTGCTTCGTTTTAGCTGCCCTGCGGTGGTCGCCGTTTTGCGTTCCTCCTCAAAGAGCATGTTGCGGGCAGCCGAAGGCGCTGAGAGCGATTGTCATTCTTCTTTCTTTTGCGGGGTTTAGTTTAGATGGTTTAGACGGTTTAGACAGTTTAGACCATCAACGACCTCATGACCAGAGTTCTTCAAAAGAAAAGTCGGTCTTACCGAGCAAGAATCTGGACCCTCAAATGAAAAGGCATTGGTGCCGGGCTGAAAGGATGGGTTCTTACTTGAAAGGGGCTAAGCCAGTGGCTACGTCCCGACTGTCAGGACTACCCCAGTTCCCCACGTGGCCTTTGTTGCTGGTGCTCACCACCGATGGCTTCGTCCGGGCGCACCAACCCTCCCTGATGCCGGAGTTCGTGGTGGAGCTCCGGGCGGCCAGCCTCCGTGCGGTCCAACCATCGCAGCCGTCCTCGCACCTGGTGGCGGTGCACCAAGGAGTGCGAAGCCCGGGGAATGGGGGATCACCCAATCACGAGGCGAGAACTGGGAAAGCAGTCCTATCCTTCCAATGGCAGTAGCAGTTTTGCATGAAGGATCAATGACAATTCATGATATTCTTATCATGATAGTAGGGCGGCAAGACAAGGAGAAACCAACTGTTGGCCTGGCTCAACTGCAAACCGCTCCACCCGCACATCCAGGAGCCCAAAGCGAGGTCACGGCTGAATTGGCCAGAGACTGGACGTTGAGCCTTGGGAGGATGTCCAGAGCTCTGGGCACTGAAGGGAGGTGCGCGGCTTTTTGGGGCGTTTTGGGAGAGAAGTTAGACAGATTATGAAAGATTTGGGTCATGCGGCCCTGTTTCTTTAGGACGGTGGGAAGTTTCATGTTGTTGGACAAGCCGTATGCTCTCCATATTTATCGGCAAAAGCTGACTATTCATCAACTTGACATTTTTCTCCAAAATCCCCGCAGCATGACGTTCGCCTACCCCAGACCGACCCGACCACCATGATCTTCCCGGTGGTCCGTCCGTCCCGCCTGCGGAGGCTCTGGGAATATCCCAGGAATCCCTGCAAGGCCTGCGTCGCCGACTTTTGGAACCCCGACGAGTGGATGTATCGCCAGGCCCCGATGTGAGTGAACCCCGGCGAGTGGCTCGGTGGACGGACGGACTTCGGTGGACGGGGTTGACCAGGGTTCGGTGTTCCAAAAGGTGGGGGGAAATGGACTGGTCGACCCAAAACGGGAGAAACGGTGCAGAGCGGTGGACCCTCGTTTCAGTTCGGTGCTTCTGGAGGAGCCCGAAACAAGGAACTGGGAGGCAGTTCGGTGCCATTTCCTTGTTTCTTTCTTGGTCCTATTTATGGCGCACGAGGGGTGGGGACCGGTCTTGGTCAGTTTGACCTCGAGCAGCTGGGGGTTTTGATCCAGACTGTTCGGGTGTAGGTGAAGGTACATGGCGCAACTTCCATGACTTGGAAGTACCAACTACTGTATGAACTCGGTGCAGCTGGAATTTCTGTGAAACAAAATTGATCCAACTTGTAGAAGTGCAGTAGCTAAAGCGCATTCTGGATGAACTGTACCTATTCCTGGTCATTCTTTGCTGCAACATGTTTTTCACGAGAGGTGGAAATGCAATGCAGCCCCTGTGCCTCGCGACAGTTGCTGCTGATTGATTCCTATGGTCAGGCAGGGTGTTTGCAGGAAGGATCCGTTTCCGTCAACCGCCGGGCTTCAGAGTCTGCTGCTGCTTTCAAGAACTGTTGGTCCTGTTGGTGCCATGATTCTGTTTAGCTTAAGGCGGCAGGCGCATGAATTGGTGATACGAAAGAAGTGCACACTCAACTTTCAAGAAGTTCGCCCGACGCATAACGCATATGCCGCATAACGTATGAAACTCAGGCCCTGAGCATGGGTCTTGATGCTTTGGTTACCAAACATCAAGGGACACACATCCAGCAGCAAAATCCGGTCCCCTGTGGTCCGGATGATGGATGTGGATGGGATGGATGGGATGGATGGGATGGATGGGATGGATGGAACCGAACCAGTTGGGAAAGAAGCTACTACGCACGGTGGAGGCCATCGCAAGCGGTGAACCTCCTCGTCCCGATTAATCCGGATCGGACGATGAGGTCTTCCTACGGCACACCTTCCTGGATCCGGAGGTGGGACAGCGGTTCTGCAGCGGAACCGGCAGAGCTTTCCGGAACGGAAAACTGGACCCACTTGGTTTGTGCTCCAGTTGGGTGGTGAAACTTGGTTATTTCTGCTTTTTTGTTTGGGAGGTCAACGCAGAAAACGCCTCATTCTTTCGCCTCATTTGCCGGGCTGCCGTTTGGCTGCAGCTATGGGTTTCTCATCGGGCTCGGTGAACGACGCAGGTGGTGCTCTGGGGCGTGGGAGCCAAACGGCGGACGGATGCAGATGGAATGCCTTTGGACCACAGGTGCGACGAGTGTGGTTCCGGCATCGAGTGGGCTGGGGTGACGGGGGTTTTCAATTTGATTCAACGGATTGGTGGCAGGGAGCTAAATGTTGAATGAATCACGCGTCAGCCGCAAGAACAGATGAAACTTGAAGCTGAGAACCACGTCTGCGTGAGCCCATCCCCTCTGAATGTGAGAAGTGACCGCCTGGGTCGTCACCCAACAACCAGACACCTTTCACCCGCCACATGGCACCATTGCCGACACATCGGGGTCGTGATCGTTCCTGAAGCCTCATCGTTCGTTCGTGCTTCGATGCGTGGTCACGGACGGAGGCACCAGGAGCTGGTGAACTCACTCCGAAGCCTTTGCGGGAGCGGCATGAGTTTCGTCCGCAATACCCCGTGGAGTAGCGATCAGGCGGATGGAGTAGCGAGGGGCCGATGCTTCGGCCGTTGCAGTGGTGGAAGGGCTGGATTTGCAGCTCCATAGTTGCCAGCACCAAGAGGTCGCCTCTGGTCGCATCAGATTCGTCTCCTTTCTCTCCGAAAAAAGATCCGCCGGATAGAACTGCTGATGGTTCAGCTGCTTTGCATTCGATTTTAAGACCTTCACAGTGTGTTTCATGGGCCAAGCAGACATGCAGGCTCTGCACGCTGACGTGCTACTAGGGGGGTGCCTTTCTCAAAGTGGGAGACGACTCTTGACAGGTTTTTCTTCTTCATGGCGTAACCATTTCAGTTCTCCGCGAGGCCAGCAGATACTTGAGCTCCTTCAACTCCACAGTGCCTGAGAAGTGGCGCGCGCGCATTGAAGCAGCACAGCAAGAAGAAGTCTGTGAACCTTACCCCGTGATGCTTGGAGAAGACCATGTGGTAGAAGAAGGGGTGGGGAAGATACCCGTGGGATATGTAGTAAAGATACTGTATATAATTACTTCTTTCTCTAAAATGAGATGAAGGGAAGATCTGTGCTGCGGCACTGTATGTCTTTTTTTGGGGCATCTCCAGGGCGCAAGGTGTATTTGTGCATCTTCTTGGAACTTCTTGACAGTTTAGCCAACCCATCTAGACAGAACCCAGTTGGGCAACCACCGACCCGTCTGCATTTGCTCGGACCCACCGACCCACCGACCTGGCGCCTCCGAGGACAGTCGCCTGGCGTGCCTTGATGGCTGAGCTGTCGACCGCGGATCCCGGCGATTCCTCGCCTGACTGACCCGTCGCCGGTTCGCCCTTTCAATTGGCACCGTTTCAACGGGCGGCGCGAGGTCCAAAAAGCGAGGCGGTTTGGATGGGACTTGAAAAAGAGGTTTTGGCGACTTCCAAGAGCAGTGCTGAACATGTTTTCTTTTCCTGGTGAATCTTTTGGGAGAGATCCAGATGGTGTTTGCCAAACATATTACATTCAATAAGAGGGGCGAGGAGAGAAAACAGCCACAGCAAACGCAGCAAACGCCGTGCGGGCCACGGACCCCCAGTCGGGGTGGTCAATGGACACCCGTTGACCTCTTTTCGGGGCGATGGACACCAGTTGACCTCCTGTGGCGCTGGGATGGGTGGCTTCCAGATCTCCTTTTCAGCCGAGTGGCCCGATGTCTTTCTTTCGGACGGCGTGCATAGACATTGCCAGGCAAATGGATACAAGCTCGTAGTGTATGAGCCCGAAGTCTGCTAGTTTTCTCAGGCCTGGCTTTTGGTGGTAAATGCATGCTGGGAACACTCCCAGCCTGTTTTCATGTGGAAGCGTGGAAGAGTTTCGGATTTCCTTGACGTTCACACATTTCAGCCTTGAAAACTCTTTGAACATCAGTGGGTGAGCGCATTTTTTGGGAGGCTTTGCATGTCAAACCGAGGCTTCAACGACCAGTCAGTTTGAGTCGGGGTCCGGTGGTCTCCCGTTTGATTCTGGAGTCGTGGTGAGGGTCAGAACCATTGAGGATAGATCAAAATCTCTTTCTCCGCAGCTCAGCTTGATGTGTTTTTCCCCGCTGGCACCGACGGGACCGGTGGGTTCAGCCTCATGGGAGGAAAGAAGGACGGCCGGAGATCAGGGTTCGAACGAAAAGCAACCGGTGGGTTGAGCGTGTTGAGGCTGTGATCTGATGGGACCCATGTTCTTTTCGGCCTTGAAAAGCCATTCACCTTTGCCACTGGAAAAGGGCTCGGTCTTTTTCTGCTAGTTTGACTTTCTGGATCAGAAGGTATGACAGCCTTCCAACAGTTGTCCTTCACAAAACTGCATCTAAACGCCATCCTTCGCAAGTGCAGGAGATCGAGCAAATGGAGCCAGAGGCAGAGCCAGAGGTGGCAGGTGCCCTTCCAACACGAGCCCAGTGCTCCGGGACCCCGACTCAACCAGTCTGATTGTTTAGAGAAAAACATGATTATACAGATGCATGATCCTGTCTGAAAACCAAGATCTTCGCATCCCCGCTCCTTTGGGTGGCAATGCTGACCCGTGCAGCATTCGTTTTTCGGACTGTCCGTCAAACACCAATGTTTCGTTCTCGCTCCAATTCGTGAGTTACTTGGCCTGACTCGCCGCGTTCAGAGGTGACGAGTCGGGCCTGTTCGGCAATGCCGGAATGGTGCTCATGGCCTGGAGCTGCAGCGGGGTCTTTGGCACAGTTTTTCACCAAGTACCAAGAGAGGTTAGTAATAAACCTTATAATTATAGGACCCTACGGGTACCTATGGGATAGTCTAGAGTCTATAAGGTCCTTCAACCTCTGTTGGTACTTCCTGATCTACCGAAAGACTTCCTCAAAAAGAGCCGCCAGTGGTAGACTGGGTTGGGGCATTGACGACCAGTCCACCATTTGCCGCGAGTGAGTTGGACCGACACCCGGTAGGGAAAGACCGGTTTGTCAGTATCCTGGTGCCTAATTCACCGCAGCCAGATACCATGAACAAAACAAAAGTTGAACAATAACATGTTTTTCCCCAGATAGCGACAGCTATGGGGTTCTTACTTCAAATAAGAATGAGATGGCTGCGCGCGCTTTCGAGATAGGGTTCTTTCTTCCAGTATACGAAGAGGTTCCTGTGTGTGCTTTGGAACTGGTGCCACTGCAGGGTGATGTCCAGAAATCTTTTTGGCATGCTTTTGCTCTCTAGGGTCTATGCTGGTGTAATTTTTTGGAATCGTCCTTGAAATCGAAGCACTGCTGCCCGAGCCGCCTCAGCCGCCGAGGTCCTCGTTGGGATCTATGCAGCTTTGGCCCAACGGCACCTGAATGCCAACGGCCTGGCGGTGGCAGTCGCAGTGCCTGGGCTTGTATTCTACCCACCAAAAGCTGTGGGATCAACGTCTCAAACATTTCTTGTAGGAAGAGTATTTGTTTTTTCAATAGTTTTCAGTGTGGTGCGTTGCTGAAGTACTTCCACCATTTGGTGCAGGCACTGAAAGAATATTCACCTGCTTTTAGTCGCACTTAGGGGAACCATCCCACAGTCCCGAGACTCTTTTGAGTCAAGAGACCGAGACTTCAAGAGCCTTCAAGCAACTGATGCCCTTCTGCCAATATCCCACATAACACTTGATGCGTTAAAGTGAAAGGCAGAGTTTGATTTGCCACCACGTCTGCCACCAACAGAGTTCTCGTTACACCAGTATAGAGCAGTTCTCTTAAGGAAACAACCGGCCGGTCCCCGCAGAGCGTTTGTTTGGGAGCAGGGCGGGCGGGGTCTGTCAATTGGCGTGTGAGGTTTTGAAGCGGTGCTGATTCTATGTGGAGACCATTGGAAAAAAAAGGGAACAATCATGCAGTTTTGCCCAATTTGCCCAGCCAGCTCTCCCTCCAAATGAGACCGATACTGGGGCGCAACGGCCGCAGTCGCGACCAGGTGCCGGTGCTCAGTGCCATCTTGACCATGCTTTGGCGGAAGGCGTCCCCTGAGGCGAACGAGGGAACAGGGGACGCCGGTGTGAGAAGAGATACTGTAACACCCGGGTGATGTGAAAGAGTTCCCGGCCTTTTGGGGGCTTGTTTTGGTTTGTTTTGGTTTGTAGAGATTTGTACAAGGAGTGTAGTCAAAGAGGGAAAAGACATGGTTTGGATTGTAGACCGCGTAGACAACTGCAATCAATTGCATCTATGTTTAGATTTTTCTTGGGGGGTGACTCATCTGGACTTTGCTCAATTTTATGACACTTTTGACATAGCACACCAACTTGGGAGAAGAAACCGCTGCTGTTCAAGGTGAAAGAACGAACACACGTGGTACAGTCCTGTGGGTGTGAAGGCCGGTTTCCTTTCGGCCCAACAAGCGAATCCCTTAACGTATTGACTCCAACGAGCATCTTCAATAAGTGCGTTACCAGCAATTGTCGCTGATATATGATCGGTTTCGTCACAGGTGAAATATAAAGCCAAAGCCATCTACCAGGAACAAGAAGCTACTAGGTGGAGGCCATGGCTAGGTTGGAGGCCATTACTACTTACTAGTAACAGTCAAGAAGCTACTAGGAACAAAGGGCACTGCACGGGAAGCCCAGGGCCTCTTCCCGTTGCAACGACAGTCGGAGCTCTCTGTGCTAAGCTCTCCACACTCCACCGTTTGGAGAGCTACCGGTGCTTTGATGGCAGGAGCCTGCTGCAGTGGTGGAGGAGGAGGCACAAGATGAGCTAGCAAAGGCGTCATGCAGGAATTGATGGTACATCTACTTTAATAGGACCATCCAAGGAGTGCCAAATGCGCTAAACTACGGCTTCCACTGGACACTCTGGATGGTCCTGGTAGCCTCATGGTCATATGGAACCCAACATGCCAAGTGAAGGGTTGAAACGGTGACGCTCTCCGAAATACGTTCTTCATTTCCAAAGCCGCCCGGGTTGCGCTTAACGATGAGCACAGCGGGCCACGTCCAGGTCAAGAGCCCCAAGAAGGAGCTCAAAGCTCCGAAAAAGGAGTGGTCACAAGGGCGGCCTGGAATTTCTTCCCGGACCTCGACATTTAAAGTTTGAATGTGGGACAAGCTTGGTGACCATCTCCAGCAGTTGTGGAGGCTTTTGAGAAAGTAATAGAAGTAGAAGTAGAAGAATCTGTGGGCGCAGTCCTTTGGGAGCAAAACGACACCGTGGATGTGCTCTCTTCCTTCGGTCTTTCCGGCGCAGGAGGCGAAATCGGACTCCGAGGAAGAGCTGGATCTGATCTGGGAAGCTGATTGGACGGACCCAGAGGCGCCAGGAAGAGCTGGGTCAGACGATCAAGGATCAAGCCAATTTTGGGGAACTTCTGGAACCCGCCAGAAATGGACTTTCCTTTTGGTCTCATCTTCCAGAGATCTGTTCTCCCAAAGACACCTGTCAGCTTCGCACCCAGCCTGCCAGGCACGACAGCAGGTGGTGAAGCAACTCTCGGAGTCGGAGGTGCCACGGCCCGTGGAGGTGCGCTGTGCCATGGAGCGGGTGCCGAGTCCAGCAGCTTGATCCGTGATGGACCATGATCCATCAGGGCGTTCTTTTGCAGTATCTTTTCAGATGATGGCCTGATGCTGCTTTTCTTGGCTGTTTGGTTGCTCTTCACAATCTCACTGAACGCAGTTCCTGCTTTCAGTTTCCGAAAGTCCAAATGAGACCTCCTAAAAAACCACTCCAACCCACACTCCAGCCATCTGCAGCCATCCTCCAGCAGCGCTTGTTCAAACGCGTGGCGCTTCGCTCAGCGGAAGAAACCCCTTCCGCCAGGTCTTTGAGCTCAGTGATACCCCGACCTGGCTGGCGCGGCTGCAACACCGCCGGGTGCAAGCGCAACGCTCGGGGAAGTTGAAGCGGGGGGGCCCGGTTTCGGTGCGGGGTGCTCTGCCCAAGGCTACCCAAAAGGTCCATTCAGATGACGAAGGAGACCTGACCCCCCGACGGCGCAGAGAAACTGGAGACTTCACGTTTCAGTGTTGGAGACGGATTTCGGAAGGACCACCACTGTACCAGAGGTGGTGGCCACCGAGGCTTGTGTAGTGGGGACTGTCGGGGTGGTTGAGGAGGGCAGCGCAAGGTCCTGCTAGTGACGGCTACTTAGCAAGGCAGATTGTGAACTTAAGCTCGACGTTGGGATGTTTGATCAAACTCAAGCGATCCCAGCTTTGGAAACCTCCAAAGCTATCAGTGTCCTTGCTTGGCTAGTGGCTAGTGTAGAGGTCACCCTGTTGTTTCTAGTGGCTAGTGTCCATCGACCGCGTCTCTGTGTTAGCCCTTTGTCCGGCTTCTGCTTCGCTGCACAAAGGACAACTCCTCGCCGTCCGCTTCGGCCGCACATCCCTCTGGCCATCCGTCAA